TTGTTTTAAACTTCAAATTATTATTTTCAAATGTTGGATAAAACAAGATTTAGTAATTTAGTTTTAAAAAGTTTTGCTTTAGAAATTTAAAAAAAAAAAAAAAAATTAAAAAACACTTCAAAAGATGGTTTCAGTTTCTAGCAGAAAATGTTTTATAGAAAATTTTGTCAAATTTGAGACCAGTTTTTTTTTAAACAGAATTTCTTATATATTGAGACCAGAATTAAGTTTAGAAAAAGTCTTTTTAGAAAATTTTCTATAGAAATTTTCTCCAAAATATACATAATTTTTCTATAGGAAGTTTCTCAAAAATTGAGAAAAGTTTTTAAAATTGAGATTTCTCAAAAATTGAGAAATGATTTCTACGGGAAATTTCTCCGAATTTTATAGAAAGTTTTTTAAAAATTGAGACAAGTTCTCTATAGAAAATTACTCAAAAATAGAAAATTACTTAAAAATTTAGATAATTTTTCTATAGGAAATTTTTCATAAATTGAGACATGTTTTCTAAAGAAAATTTTTTAAAATTGACACAAGTTTTCTAAAGTCTAAAGAAAATTTTTAAAAAATTGAGACAAGTTTTCTAGAGACAATTTAGATAAATTTTCAAAAGAAAATTTCTCAAAAATTCAGATAATTATTCTATAGGAAATTTTTCAAAAAGTTTTCTATATAAAATTTCTCAAAAATTAAGTTTTCTAAAGAAAATTACTCAAAAATTGAGACAAGTTCTTTATAGAAAATTCCTCAAAAATAGAGACAAGTTTTCTATAGAAAATTACTCAAAAATTGAGACAAGTTCTCTATAGAAAATTACTCAAAAATAGAGACAAGTTTTCTATAGAAAATTACTCAAAAATTGAGAAAAGTTCTCTAAAGAAAATTACTCAAAACTAGAGACAAGTTTTCTATAGAAAATTACGCAAACATTGAGAAAAATTTTCTATAGAAAATTTCTTATAAATTGAAAGCAATTTTTGATAGAAAAATTCTCATAAATTTAGAAGTTTTCTATAGAAATTTTCTCCCAAATAGAGAACAACTTTATATGGAAATTTCTCCCGAATTGAGTACAAAAAATATATCCCAAATTGTGTGAGCAATGTTGCGATAAAGGGAGAGCTATTTTCTATTGAAAATTTCTTATAAATTGAGAGCAATTTTCTATTAAAATTTTCTCATAAATTGAGAGCAACTTTCTAGTGAAAATTTCTCATAAATTGAGAGCAATTTTCTATAGAAAATTTCTCATAAAATGAAAACATTTTTCTATAGAAAATTTCTCATAAAATAAAAACATTTTTCTATAGAAAATTTATCATAAATTGGGAACAATTTTCTATAGAAATTTTCTCTAAATTGGGAACAATTTTCTATATGAAATTTATCATAAATTGAGAACAATTTTCTATATGAAATTCCTCATAAATTTAGAGCATATTTCTATTGAAAATGTCTCATAAATTGAGACATATTTTCTAGAGACAATTTAGATAAATTTTCTAAAGAAAATTTCTCGAAAATTCAGATAGGAAATTTTTCAAAAAGTTTTCTATATAAATTAAGACATGTTTTCTAAAGAAAATTTCTCAAGAATTGAGAGATGTTTTCTATGGAAAATGTCTCAAAAATTGACACAGGTTTTCTATAGAAAATTACTCAAAAATTGAGAAAAGTTCTCTATAGAAAATTACTCAAAAATAAAGACAAGTTTTCTATAGAAAATTACGCAAAAATTGAGAAAAAATTTCTATATTACAGATATAACGACAAAAATGTTTTCTAAAAGTTTAGCATAACAGCAGCAGCAATATTTAAAATCAAAATCAATTAATTTCAATTAGATTAGAAAATTCATAAAAGTTTTTGATCCATTCTATAATTTCCTTTATTAAAGAGAAGTTTATTAAACTAATTTCATAACCCCTAAACTCCATATTAGCTAACATCACATTAGATATTTCATTAATTAAACTTTTTCTTAATTTTAAAATTAATTTCAAATTAATATTCCTTTGTTTTATATTAACAATAAGCAACACCATAATTATTTAACAAAAAAATAACAAAAAATACTAATAATATAATAAGAAAAAATAAAAACTAACTACAAATTAACACACAATCTATATACTCTCGCTGTACTAAAACTAAACAATTTTCTTTAAGTGTATTTTATGTACTTAAGAATCTTATTATTTCATTTAATTTATGTATTATATTATATTATTAACACTTTACTTTCTTTGTATTATATCTAAAAATTTAATTAGTTTTATTTTTTTATACATATTTTATTTATCTCTTAACTAACTTTAATATAATTTTAATTAACACTCATTACAACATTAAAACAAATTTGCTCACTTTTGATTTGCTAAAAAAGCAGTTAAATGGTAGTCATTAAATTTTTAATGTTTTTTAAACATATTTTGTAAATATTTCCTGTTAATGTGGATGTTTTCTGGATTTATGATTAATTTGTAGAATTATTTTTTTCCCATAAATTACTTCAAACAAAAAATTTCACAGAATTTTATTTAAAACTCGAAAGACTTTTGTTGATCTTAGGATATTTCAGACATTTTTCTTAAAGAAAATTTCATAGAATTTGAAGACACTTTTCTAATAGAAAATTTCGAATAGTTTGAGAAAACTTATCATAAATTGAGAGCAATTTTCTATAGAAAATTTCTTATAAATTGAAAGCAAATTTTTATAGAAAATTTCTCATAAATTTAGAAGAGTTTTCTATAGAAATTTTCCCCAAATAGAGAACAACTTTCTATGGAAAATTTCTTCTAAATTGAGAGCAAGTTTCTATTTAAAATTTCTCATAAATTGAGAGCAATTTTCTATTGAAAATTTCTCATAAATTGAGAACAACTTTCTATGGAAAATTTCTTCCAAATTGAGATCAAATTTCTATTGAAAATTTCTCATAAATTAAGAGCAATTTCTATTGAAAATTTCTCATAAATTGAGAACAATTTTCTATAGAAAATTTCTCATAAATTTAAAACAATTTTGTATAGAAAATTTCTCATAAATTGGGAACAATTTTCTATATGAAATGTATCATAAATTGGGAACAATTTTTTTATATGAAATTTCTCACAAATTGAGAGCATTTTTCTATTGAAAATTTCTTATAATTTTAAATTTTCTATACAAAATTTCTCATTAATTGAGAGCAATTTTCTATTGAAAATGTCTCATAAATTAAGAGTAATTTTCTATTAAAAATGTCTCACAAATTGAGACCAATTTTCTATAGAAAATATCTCACAAATTGATTGCAATTTTCTATAGAAAATTTTCTCAAAATCTAAAACATTTGTCTTGTAGAATATTCCTTAGATTCCTCTAACAATCTGAGTCATTCTTCTTACAGAATGTCTGAATATCAGACATTTCTCAGAATTTCACTTGTTCTTCTTAAAGAAAACTTCTCAGAATCTTTGTCATAGAACATTTTTCTTATAGAAAAATCTCTCATAATCTGAGATATCCATATAGAAAATTTCCATAAACTGAGGCATTTTTCTTACAGAAAATGTTTCTATATATCTGACATTTCTCAGAATTTCACTAGTTTTTCTTAAAAAAAACTTCTCAGATTTTTTCTCATAGAAAATTTCTTAGAAACTGGAAAATGTTTTCTATACAAAAATCCTCACAAATTGAAAAAAGTTTTGTGTGAGAATAGTTTCTTCCACAAGAAGAAATTTCCACAAATTCGTTTCTAATAGAAAATTTCTTATTGAGAAATTCTTCTTATAGAAAAAATCTCTCATACAAATCTCTCTAATTCATATAGAAAATTTTCAGAATCTTAGACATTTCTCTTCACGGAATTCTTTAGAAAAATTCTCATAAACTAAGACATTCTTCTTACAGAAAATTTTTCTGAATACCAGACATTTCTCAGAATTTCACATGTTCTTCTTAAAGAAACTTCTCAGAAACTGGAACATGTTTTCCACAACAAAATTTCTCACAAATTGAAAAAAGTTTTGTGTGAGAGAAAAGTTTCTTACACAAAAAGAAATTTCCACAAATTTATTTCTAATAGAAAATATCTTATTGAGACATTCTTCTTATAGAAAACATCTCTTATAATCTGAGATATTCATATAGAAAATTTTCAGATTCTGAGACATTACTCTTCTCAGCATTCTTTTGAAAATTTTTCATGAATATCAGACATTTCTCAGAATTTCACTTGTTTTTTCTTAAAGAAAACTTCTCAGAATCTCTCTCATAGAAAGTGTTTTCTATACAAAATTTCTCACAAATTGAGAAAAGTTTTAAATGAAGAGCTTTTTTCCACAAGAAGAAATTTCCACAAATTTTTTTCTAAAAGAAAAATTCCTAAAAAAATGTTTCTTATAGAAAATTTCTCGGAAACTGGAACAGGTTTTCTATATAGAAATTCTCACAAATTCAAAAAAGGTTTAGGAGAATAGTTTCTTCCACAAGAATAAATTTCCACAAACTGAGATAAGTTTCTTGCAAACTAGCACAAGTTTTCTATAAACACAGTGAGAACATTTTTCTACAGCAAAGAAAGTTGAATTATTCTCAAGCACCCAAAGTTTGTAATCCTACTGTATACCACATCTCTATTGTATGTGACCCACTTATTTCCACATCGCTAATTTGGAATCTTTCTATTTGTTTTACAAAAAAACAAAAAAAAATCACTTAACTGCTTTTGTTGTTTTAAAAGAGAGGAGCATTGTTCACATTTAACAATTTTGTTTTTGTTAAAACCAGCTAATAATCCTTTTTTTCTTTTATCTCTTTTTTTTTCTTTTTTTTTGGTTTAAATTTCATTATATGGTTTATTTTTGACTTAAACTGCATGCTGTTTGTTGTGCTACCAATCTATATTTCATTGTTGAAAATAATAAAAAAAAAATATTTAAAAAAACGCTTTTGCTGCCAAAAAAAATTAAAAAAAAAAAACTATAAATGGAACATTAAACTTAAAATAGCATAAATTCAAAAAAATAGGAAGTTATAGCTAAAGGATTAATGTGGCCCCCCTAAAAGTATGCTTGAAAAATCCACCTACCAGCAAAAAAATCATCCTGTTGCTGCAGTCATCTTTTTAATTATTAAGCTTGTTTTTTTATAATTATAATTTATGTTCAATTAATTTAAAAGTATTGCACTTTTTTATGTATTTAATTGTATGTTTAATTAAATATTTATTGTGATTTCATTATTAGGTTTTCATGTTATTTTTTTTGTTAGTATAACTAACAATTTTGTACTTAAAGTGGCATTTATTTATTTATGTAAATGTTTTATTTAGTTTGTTTTTTATTTTTATTTTTAACACACAAAAAAAAATGCTTTAAATTATTGTTTTACTATAAATAACATTTATAAAGCATAATTATGTACCTTTCACAATCTGAAAACGTTAAGAAAATGAAAACAAATCAAGAAAACCAAAACCTGCTCGTTTTATTAACTAATAACATCTAAAACATAATAATTAAACGCAAACAACATGCTACAAGGAATGTGTTATTTTGGTCATAATCATTGCATTTTGTCCAAAACATTTCCAAGAAGCACATGATTTTTAAAAGGCACGATTTTTATTGACTGCTTCATAAGTACTTAACAAATAACCATATTAATGCAACAATTTTAACACCTACAACAACAACAACAACCAAATAACTCCACACTCTGATAACATTTTGCTAATTTTTCTCAACTGCAACATCTTTTTTTTTTCCCGGAAAGAATGCAGCCATAAAGAAATTTTTATTTACATCCAACCACTTTATTGCACATGACTGTTGAAAAACTTAATGCGCTCCCAACCAATAAAAACTACTTAACACACTCTCAAGCCACACACTTTTCTTTTCGCCTCGAAAAGTGTGGGAATTTTTCATCATAAATTTACTAAAACATCAGTGTCGCCACACAAATTTGACACACTTCATCATATGTACTTTGTTTTATAACAATAAATTCCAAAAAAAATCTAAAAACTGCTGCAAATGCAATGCGATTTTTAACGTTTAAAAGCTTAACCTTAGTTAACTGTAGTTTAATGGTTAAAGTAACACCAACAACAACAACAACATCGTTAAATACAACCACCACCAACATTATTATTAGCCAATCTTTCTACGGACATAACAACTTTTTGGAATAGTTACAAAAATTTCTCGTTTTGCAATTAAGTTTCATAGAGACAGACAGATAGATGTTCGACGTTTTCTCCATGGATTTATTAAAATTTAAGGTAAGTTTATTAAACTTTGAGAAAAAAAATATTTATCTTTATCTGATTTCATATGAATTGTGTGAATTTTTTCTTCTTAAACAAACCTTTGAAAACTAATTTTTGTGATTTTTTTATTAATTTAAATTTTTAATTAAAATTCAGTTTTTAAGTAAAATCTTCAAACGAAATTTTCTCACAAATTTATAGAGATTTTCTATAGAAAATGTCACGAAAACTGAGAGTAATTTTCTATACAAATTTTCTTACAAATTGAGAGATATTTTCTGTAGAAAATTTCTCCCTAATTGAGAACAATTTTCTATAGAAAATGTCTCCCAGATTGAGAGCAATTTTCTATAGAAAATGTCTCACAAATTGAAAACTGCTCTCAATTTTTGAGACATTTTATACATTTTTGTATAGAAAATGTATCCTAAAATGAGAGCAAATTTCTATAGAAAATATCACCCTAATTGAGAATAATTTTCTATAGAAAATGTCTTCCAAATTAAGAGCATAAATTGAGAGCAATTTTCTATAGAAAATGTCTTACAAATTGGGAACAGTTTTCTATAGAAAATGTATCCTAAATGGAGAGAAATTTTCTAAAGAAAATATCACCCAAATTGAGAGCATTTTCTATAGATAATGTCTCCTAAACTGAGCAATTTTCTATAGAAAATGTCTCACAAATTGAGAGCAATTTTCTGTAAAAAATGTCTTACAAATGGATATTAATTTTCTATAGAAAATGTCTCCCGAATTGAGAGCAATTTTCTCTAGAAAATGTCACCCAAGTTAAGAGCACAAATTGATAGCAATTTTCTATAGAAAATGTCTCCCAAATTGGGAAAAATTTTCTATAGAAAATGTCTCTTAAATTGAAAGCAATTTTCTATAAAAAAATTCTTACAAATTGCCAGCAATTTTCTAAAAGATATCACCTAAATTGAGAGCAATTTTCTATAAATATATCACCTAAATTGAGAGCAATTTTCTATAAAAAATTACTTACAAATTGAGAGCAATATTCTATAGAAAATGTCTTACAAATTGAGAGCAATTTTCTATAAATAATGTCTTACAAATTGAGAGCAATATTCTATAGAACATGTTTCACAAATTGAGAGCAATTTTCTACAGAAAATATCTCACAAATTGAGAGCAAATTTATATAGAAAATATTCTACAAATTGAGAGGAATTTTTTAAGAAAATTTCTCAGAAATAGACAGCAATTTCCCATATAAAATTTCTTATAAATTGAGAGCAATTTCCTATAGAAAGCTTTTTATAAATTAAAAGCAATTTTCTATAAAAAATTTCTGATAAATTGAAAGCAGTTTTTTAAAGAAATTTCTCATAAATCGAGATCAATTTTCTATAGAAAATTGATAAAATTAATTGACTTTGCAGAAAATGAAAATATTCATTAATCCAATGAAGTAATTCCTGGCTGATAGGAAAGTTTTTCTCTTAGTGTAGGTTTTAGGTCTGACATTATTTAATAACTTATTCTGAAAGCTTTTTTTATTTTTGCCATTTTGAAAAAAAAAAAACACATTATTAATTATTGCCAACTAATCACCTCTCATATAAGTAATGTAAAAACAATTTAAATAATTAAATAAAAAACAATTAATTACAATATAAATTTAAAGTATTGTATATTCATTGTAAAAAAACATTCATAATTTTAATAAAAACTCAGACTGGCAATAATGATGAATCACTAAACGACAAAACTCAAAATTTATAAAAAACCCGCACCAAATACAGACAGTCGTCGGGCATCATCTGTTATTTAGTGGGATGATGAAACGTAAACAATATTTGTTTGCTCATTTAATTTTTTTCTAAAAAAATATTAATAAACAATGTGTTTTTATAGAACTAAAAAAAATACATATTTCTCTGTTATTTCTATTATAGAATAATCAAAATTCAAAATGACAAAACAATGTAAAGGGCGTTGTTAAACAATAGACATTAAAAAAACTGTAAATACAATTGAAAACAACACTATGACGTTGTCAATGATGATTATAGAGCAACAATGTTAAAAAGATACACACTAATCGAATGTTCTTAAATAAGAACAAACATTAAATCGATAAAAATAGCAAAAAAAAAAAAAAAAAAAAAATGTAAAACTATGACTACTGTAAATTACATTGTATGTACTTTTATATTTATTTTATTTATTATACTTTGCCAACTCTTCTTTACTCCCACGCAAAAATATTGAACTTTTATCTCTGGCTAAAACCAATACTCCCACATACTCGTTGCTAAATGAATGTTTATTTAAAGATTCGTAAAAGGCAACAGTAGCCTCTGTATTGTCAGTTGTTTTAAGTTTAATATTATTTATTTATAAAATCTCCATTTATAGAATATTTTTGATAAATTTTCGATTTATTTTCTCTTTTTTTAAAACACCAATATTTTCTTTCGAAAATTTCTAATAAATTCAATAAAATTTTCTATAGATAATTTCTCACAAATTCAGAGCAATTTTCTATACAAAATGTTTCCTAAATTAAGAGCAATTTGCTATAGAAAATTACTTACAAATTAAGAGCAATTTTCTAAGAAAAATTTTTCACAAAATGAGAGCAATTTTATATGGATTTTTTTTTTTATAAATTGAGATCTATTTCCTACAGAACATGTTTTACAAATTGAGAACAATTTTGTATAGAAAATATCGTCCTAATTGAGAACAATTTTGTATAGAATATATCTCCATAATTGAGTGCAATTTTGTATAGAAAATATCTCCCAAATTGAGAATAATTTTCTATGGAAAATTTTTCACAAAATGAGAGCAATTTATATATAAAATATGTTTCACAAAATGACAACAATTTTCTATAGAAAATGTATCCTAAATTGGGAACAATTTTCTATAGAAAATGCCTCCTAAATTGAGAACAATTTTCTATAGTAAATGTCTCCTAAATTGAGAACAATTTTCTATAGAAAGTGTCTCCTAAATTGGGAAAAATTTTCTATAGAAAATATCTCCATAATAGAGAGCAAATTTCTATAGCATATATCTCCTCAATTGAGAGAAATTTTATATAGAAAACGTCTCCCTAATTGAGAAAATTTTACATAGAAAATGTATTTGAAATGGAAAACCATGTTCTATAGAAAATTTCTCACAAACGTAGAGCAATTTTATATAGAAAATTTCTCACAAATTGAGAGCGATTTTCCATAGAACAGGTTTCATAAATTGAGGGCAATTTTATATTGAAAAAATCGCTCTAATTGAGAGCAATTTTCTGAAGAATATGTCTCTCTAATTCTGAGCAATTTTGTATATAAAATGTTTCCCTAATTGAAAGCTATTTTTTATAGAAAAAGTCTCACAAATTGAGAGTAATTTTCTTTATAGAAAATGTTTCAGAAATTGAGAGCAATTTTCTATAGATAATATCTCACAAATTGAGAGCAATTTTCTATAGAAAATGTCTTACTAATTGAGAGCAATTTTTTGTAGAAAATGACTTACAAAATTGAGAGAAAATTCTCACAAATTGATAGGAATTTCCCATAGAAAATGTCTCACTATTTTTTGTAGATAATGAGAGCAATTTTGTATAGGAAATTAAGAGCAATTTCCTATGGAAAACTTTTCACAAATTGAGAGCACTTTTTTATAGAAAATGTCTCACAATTGAGAGCAAATTTTTTCACAAATTGTAAGAAAGAAATTTCAGAAATTTCAGAAGAAAATTCTAATGGACTCACAAATTTCTTAAACAATTGAGAGCAATTTTATAGAATTTTTTTTTTATATTTTTTAAGGAAGAGACATATGGTTTCTATGGCGAAAAGAGAGAAGAAAAAACACTTAAGTTAGAAATTAAAAACTTTTTAAGAATATGTAGCTAGCAATATATATATATAAATTATCTTTAAACTTCACGATCACTTAACAACTCAATGATGTCAAGTATGACAAGCTTTTTTCCGTTGAAAATAAATTAAAAAATTAAAGAAAAAAATACATCATTGTTGCATTGTTAGTTGGCTTAATGTTGTTGCTCTTGTGTGTGTGTTCGTTCATACGACTGAGAGCTTTTCAGCAAACAAAATTCAAAAGTCTAAAAAAAACTTAAACTTAACGCAAGGTTAATTGTATGGGGTGCAAGTACTATATTTTTTAAAGTAGATAAAACAAAAGTTAAGACGAGAGAATAGATGAATAAAAAAAAAAAACAAAACTTAATAACAGCAACACATATTGTTAAAATAAAAAGAAAGTTTATTTATTATATTTATGTTTGTTTGAGTATTTTTATATAATTTTTTTTTCGCAAACTTTTTTAAACTGGAAATTTTTTAAGTTTCCCAAATAAGTTGTTTTAATAAAAATCATGTCTGTCTGTTGTCAGAGACAGAGAAGCATGAGATTTGCGTTTTTATGGTTTAAGCTTTAAATAATTTGGTTTTATATAACCGTTGTTGGACCGTTAATGACATTAAATATATATTTTTTTGTGGATTAAATTTAAGATTTTGTTAGTAAAGGGAGTTCAAAATTTAGGATTTTTTATAAGGTAAACCTCAGATTTAGACAATTTTTCAGTAGAAACATTTTAAACATTAAAATCTTCAATTAAAAATTGTTTAATTTTGGCCAAAAATATTTCAGTTCAAGGTCTTCATTAAAATTTGACATTTCATAAACAAATTATTCCATAAACAAATTATTTTCTCAATTCTTAACAAATGTTTTTTTTTAACAATAAACAGCAAATATTTCTAGTATTTAGCGTCTTAATGACGAATAAGTCTTATTATGACAACAACTCTCTAATAAACGATCCAAAAAGATGACTTCATTTTTTTCGCACACAAAAAAAGTGTAAATTTTTTTTATAAAAAAAACTTTGTGTTTTATTTAAACATTTTATTATTTAAAAAATTTTAACACTTGTTCAGTAGATTTGTTTTTTATGTACATAAGTATTGCTAATACAATAAATAGTAAATAAATTTAAA